GGTTGTTAGGGAAGAATTCATGGACACTGATGAATACAGAGTGAGACTTAAAGAGCATCTGCAATTAGGGAGGAAGAACAGGAAGGAGCACAAAAGGAGGACGAAACGGGAGGAGGCTGGAGTATAAAGCTATCTGGAATGGACAGTTTATATGGAAAATTCATCTAAGATACTTAATTTTTTAACATTCTCCCCCAACAAAGCTTTATTTAGATGTATGTCCATTTTGGACATCATCTAGGTGAATGAAAAATGTCATATTTCCTCTCCAAAGATGATCCTTTCATGAATTAATATGTTTGGCTTTGATAATTAATAAACAACATGTTGAATTTTAATTCTCTCTGTGGTCTTAATTAGCATTTTGATATTGAGTATTTGTGGAACCTTAAAAAATCAGGACCCCATTATCAGACTATAGAAACTTGATAGGCCAAGCACATGGTAGGGGCTCAATAAGTATTTACTGAGTCAGTAGGAAAAGGAAAAGAAAAAGAGAAAGAAGAAAGAAAGAATGGAATTTGAAAATACTATTTCTCATTACTTTTTCAAATGTCAGGTGAGCAATTATTTAAATTGTTACTTATTATGTTGAATCCTATCTTTAGGCTTAATTCATTATAAATTGCCATATCTTCAAGAATACAGAGTACATAATTGGTATATTTTTATTATTTTTTTAGATTAACTATGGTTCTTCATCTTTTCCTGAAGTTCCTGAAATTTTCAATAGGCATCAAGAGTTATAACAGAAACAGTTACATTATTTCTTGCAGGAATAGCCTGAACCTGAAATATCAAAGATAGGTCAAGAGTAATAGTGGAAAACAGTAATTTGGTTCCATCTTACAATACTCTAAAGAAAATAAAAAGAATTCCAGGAAATGTTAGTTGCAGTCTAAATGAACCTCCGACTTTATATAAACCTTCCTGATTGACAGAGGTGGAGAGAGGAGTGGAACAAAGAACATGAGAAGAAGTAAGCAGTTATTTACAATAACAAACTCCTCTCCCCAGGGGGTAAGTTATTCTGGAGCAGGAATGAACTGAAACCCTTTGCATAAGCAAGAACTGAGTAAGATAAACATGTCAGACACTGCCGTAGACTTGGAAGACTCTCGGCATTCCAGACTCCCCTGTGTTGTATATTGTGGGAAAGGGGCCACCAGCCTTGAAACCAAAGTGGCCTGTTCTCAGGGTGACATCTGCATTTAAGAGCAAGATAACCTTGGGAAGCATTTAGTCTTTCTGAGTCTGTTTCTTTATCTGCAAAATAGGGATAATCATCATTATCTCTTAGGATGGTATAGATTAAAAAAGGCAGTGTCTGCAAGAGCCTGAGTGTCTGACAAATAGCAGGAGCTCAGCAAACTGTGATTTGTATTAATTCTTAAGCAACTACATGGGGCTGAAATTCTCCACTCCAAGAGGGAAAGGCTTCTTTACATTTGTGAATACAATGCAATCAACTTATTAATTCCAATATTTATACATATAAATGTATAAATGTAGATATGGAATATCTATTTGTATATAGATATGGAATATCTACATGAAAAAATAAAGCTAGAGCCAATTCTCAATCATCTAATGCAATGAAAGCAAGACATACAGTAGTCCCCCTTTATCAGAGGTTTCATTTTCCATGGTTTCCATTACCGGCAGTCAAATGTGGTTTGCAAATATTCAATGAAAAAGTCCAGAAACAAGCAATTCATAAGTTTTAAATTGTGTGCTGTGCTGAGTAGTGTGATGAAATCGCATGCTATTGGGCTGGGGCATGACTCATCCCTTTGTCTAGTGTATTCACACTGTATATGCCACCTGCTTGTTAGTCACTTAATAATCCCCTTGATTAGTGCAGCATAGAGAGAGAGCAACAGAGACCACAGTCACATCGCTTTTATCTGTGGTACATTGTTATCATTCTTCTGTGTTATTATTCATTATTGTAGTTAATCTCTTAGCATGCCTAAATTATAAATGAAACTCTATCATAAGTATGTATGTCTAGGAAATAACATAGTATATGCATAGTATAATAATGTAGTATATGTAGCATGTATCCGCGGTTTCAGACCTTTCCTTGGGGGAATGTCCCCACAGACAAGGGAGAACTACTGCACCCAGGAGGAGGGAGCACATACTTTTTGTTCTACCCCTGTGCTAGTTTCAGCGCCTCATCTCCCCTTTAACCACCCCCGGTCTCGACTCCAATTCACCCACAGTCTGTCAGTCTTTTTCTCATATCTACTATCCAGCAAACTTATTTAGCTTTTCCCAAATTTTAAGAATATTCCTACTAAAAAATTTAAGGATCAGGAAACATCTCAAATTCAAATAAATCATTCTGTACAACTTAAAGACCCTGACCCTGATTAAAACTGACACACTCATAGTGAGTCTTGGCTCTGCCCACGTGATGCACAGTGCTCAGACAGGGAAATATTTTAACATATTTCAAAATACAATTAAAACATATAAAAGCCATTGGAGAGAATTTGGGTTCTTGTATTAAAGGATAGCTCCTTCTACTTTTAGTTATAAAAGATTTTTGTAAACCTTAAGATCTAAAATATGCTTTAAATATCTACAATATGTCAAGAATAAACTTTAAAAAAAATCTCAAATCCATGTAGTATGCTGTTGGTGAAATCTACTTTTCAGGCTAAAAAAAAAAAAGAAAGCTGGAGTGGGGTGGATCTATAGAGACACTTTTATTTATTTTATAACCTGTGAAATGTTTTGTAGCCACAGAAATGGTTCTGGGAACAGTAATGTTAAAACTGTTCAAAAGCTGAACTTTCGATTTGCAGAGTACAAATAGAGAATAAGTTGCAAATCGATCCTTTAACAAAGATTTTGATTATGTATATAATGGTGTTGTTACAGAACAAAAAGGGGGGCCTGGGATGATATACTACTACTGAAAGAAGCCCCCGGGTCCATCATGTCCGCCACCCGAGGAAAGACGTCTCTCAATGCCAGAGATTCATGAAAAGGAAAGGAAACGTTTATTTAATGCTATACAAACTTAAAGTAGGGACCTAATGTCTTCACTAAAAATCCTAAACTCCCTTAAAGGACTCACAAACAGACACAGTCCTTCCTTCCTTCCCCCTTTGCCCAGTCCAGAGTACCATATCTCAGGAAAGGAAATAGAAGTCCATGGCTCAGGCAGTCCTCTGGTTCTTCCCAGTTAGTACTCCATCTCGACTGGGAGACCTCCCTGGGTTCCCGGCACCCTCCGCTGAGTCGCCGGGATCTCTGCTAAAACCAGGTGGTGGTTCCCCTTCTAAAGCTGCGGGGGTCCCCACTCTGGCAAAGGCACATGGTCCTTTCTCCCAGGGCCATGGGAGTCCCCACTCTGCCAGGCCGCGTGGTTCTCCCTCTCTCAGGGCTGCGGGAAGGGAGAGTCCCTACTCAATCGAGGCTGCGTGGTTCTCTCTCAATGGCTGCCGTGTCTGGGTTTAAATCCCCGTGCCAATCTTCTTCTGCAGCCCCATTTCCGACTCCTCCTACACTTGGGCACACTTGCCCTCAATCTGCTGTCTTCTCCAGCTTTTCTGGTTGCCATCGTGGGTCTGGGCAGGTGTGACCCCATGTCATGGAGCCAATCTTCTCCCAGCTCCCACGCAGGTGCTGTAACTTAGGGGACCTGCCCCCCAGTCCCATCTTGGGGCAGGGGGAGATCCCTTTCCATCCCCCTGGCCTTGAGCCTGGCCATAGCTATTTAGCATATTTAAGCAACCAGCCAAAGGCTATGGGTATGTTAAATGACCATGCCATGGATTAGCTGCAAAGCTGCCCTGCATGTTCTTGCTCTGTGTGCCCCTTCCCCCAACTCACACCTATGGGGGAAGGGGTGAAGACACCTTAAAATCTCCTGGATACCTTGAGTTCTGGACCCCATTTCAAATGCCTATTTGGGGTCCCCCCTCTTGGCTGTACCCTGTAACAGTATTAAGGGAACAACCTCAGGTCACAGATTTTTAATATCCTCAATAACCCTTCCCCATGGCCACTCTAGGGCAAGTTTGTGAAGTAGTATAAGTTGGTCTTCATTAAGTTTGTTCCACTTTCTAGTCCTGCAACCTCTCTAGGCCTGCTCCTGTTACATCATTTCATCCCTGCCCAGGACTTCTCTTAAAAAATATCAACCTGATAAATCACTGATCAGGTTAGCCTTTGCCCAACCTTTTACATGAGTCTTTGCATTAGAAGAGCGATTTTCAGCCTTTTCCATCTCATGTCACATATAAACTAATTACTAAAATTCTGTGGCACATCAAAAAATATATATTTTTGCCAATCTGACAAAAATATACTTTTGATTCATTAACACAGGCAGGCCACTGTTGTGTTGGCTGTTGTCATTTTTTAAATTATGACAATCTAAAGGAAAGGAGGTCAGTGCCCTTGGCTAAATAGTCAATATTGAGTGTTTTAAAAATGCTTGGGGCTCATTGGTTGAACGTGGCTGCATTAGAAAAAAGTGATTAGCAGGAAGTATTGCACCCTCAAAAAATAAATCTCTAATGATAAAATTTCAGACACCACCTTTTTGGGGGAGGGAATTATTTGGGTCAGAGAAGATTTCCTAGCACAGGACTAGAACTATAAGTATATTTGTAGTAATAATTACCTTTTATCTATTTCTCAAATATTGATTGTGAGATCACTTGTACTGTAGTCACAAAAGATACACGTTGAAAAAAAAGAGTTCAAGATTTCTAGGCCCAATCCCAGAATCATTAAGACAGACTCTCTGGGATTGAGAAGTTTATAATTTAGAAAAGGAAGATATAAGAGTAAACAAATACAAATGAGTACTACTATCCCAAGTTTGGAAATGATCAGATTACACCCTACAGACAAGAAGCTTAGGGTATCGATGCATTAATTTGGCCTATGGGTATTCACTGTAGCATGTGACAATAGAAGCTTTGTTTGAAATTGTAGCCATATACAAGGATCCCCAACTTTATCTTTGGTCTTACCAGGCACTCCAGCTTGCACCCAGAACTCAATGTCTGTCCCTTCTCCATCACGGAAGACCTGTGTGACATTGATGGGCTGCAGCAGGCCCATGATCTCCTTCATGATGGCTCTGGCCTTGTCACTGCCGGTGAACTGCAGCCCATAGGGTAAGAAGGTTCCCCCATCAGACTCCATCACCAGGCTGTAGTTGGAAATATTTGCCTAAAAAAAATGACAAATGTGTTTGGTTTATTTTTGTTGCTTCTATGCTTTCTCCTTGGGAACTATCAACAACAATAATCAAATACTTTCTTTCTTTACCAGTTCTTGCCAAAATGCATCTTGCTCTGCCTGGCTTAGGGTCTGGCCTGCACATTACCTAACTGTTCTGAGATGCACAATTACTCATCCTGGGATATGCCCAACTCGAGTTGACTTGGAAGGACTAAAAAATGTGATAAATAGAAGTATAAAGCCCCATATTAAAATTAATTATTTCTACTAGCCATAGTATTCTTCCAAAACATTTTTCTGAAGTGAATACTGTGTACCTGGATGTAATTCCTCCTATATGGTGGGGGATCTCCAGATGTATTAGTGATGATCCAACAAAACAAGGTATGCTCTGAAGACTATTTTTCTCTGCACCTCTTTCCTCTAAACGGATATTCTATCTTGTTTTAATTGTGAGTTCTGCTGAAGCTTAAAGGTACCAAGCTGACAGGTTTGTCTTGGGTTTCCGATGTTGCTCTCCCATCTGCTGAATCCCCTGGGAGGGAGGTAATAGAACAACACATGAAACACTGCTCTGTCTGGTGCACAGCCACAGCTCTCTACACCCTGGCTCTCTGCCAGGCTGCTAGTTTGTCAGCTCTTTCCAAATAAAGCCTGGTAAGAAATCACACAGCGACTTCATGTAGCCAATAGCGGCACTACAAGAGCTCAGAATGGAAGAAGTTCCCACCAGGTTGCACAGCTACATTGCCACACTGACCGGAGACCGGCAAGTTTACGGTCCTTCAAACTTGTCTGGCCATCTGTTTCTCAGGAGACATCCGCTTCTTCAAGACTGACCAACAACTACTAGGTTGAGTTACTCCCAAGCTATTCCTGGAGGGCACTGTGTTCATTCCTCATTTTTCTTCTAGTAAAAATCAATAATAACATTTGTGTGGTGCTCCCAGAGAGCTTTCATATTTATAATCTCCTTTGATCTTCTTCCATAACCCATAAAGCAGACAAAGCAGCTTTATGGTTGGTGCTGTTTTATAGGAGAGGAACTGAGGATCAGAGAGGCCAAGTGATTTGCTCAAAGTCACTTGGTCGGCCAGGGGCAGAACTGGGCCTGAAATCACTGCTTCCTAAAACTGCACGCCACCCTGGCTAGCATGGGGTCGAATGCTAAGTTAACACTTGCTCCGAATTAGAATGATTTTTCACTTACATAACCAATTAAAGGTTGCATAAGTGGTTTTTTTTTCTAAAACAGATTCCTTTTACAATGATTTCCCAACTATTGCCATGGAAGTGTAAATGTTGTTACAACGGCAAAAGCAGTGGTGAGTTCTCAGGGAGGGTGTTGCCAGCATTTATAAGGACTAAATGAGGTGACGAGGTGGCCCTGGGATACCAGTGTTTTGTTTTTGTTAATCATAAGAAAGTTAAAGAGAAGTCTGCTCATATTTCTATTCTCACTTCTAAAGAATTTTGGTCTTAATGAGGATTTTCAGAGAAAGACCCAAGGCATTTATAATGCAAGTGTCATCTCAGTTTTCCACTGTGCCTACTACAGCATGGCAGCATCATTAGAGTAAATAATGTGCAAAATGTTTGCACTAATGCCTTGTATTCAGGGCTTGTGTAACCAGCACACCAATACTAGGTCAGCAGGTCGACATGTCCTAACCCTCTCCCCTCGTATGCCCTGCTCAGCCCCACACCAAACTCTCTCTGTCCCCTGTGAAAGAGAGACTAGAAACATCATGACCTATTTGCAAATGAAAACAGAATTGGGTAATCTTCTATGTGAGGCTTCCCACATTGCAGGCAAATCTCATCTTTCCAACATGAAATGAAGCAAAGTGCTCCTAATTATTTACTATTCAGGTTAAAAGTGGAGCTAGGCAGTTTGGCTGTCAGACCCAACACTATTAAGCAGCCCAGTGAGGTGGACACAGCTCTGTACCTACTCTGTTCTCTTTCTGACTCAAAACTGACACGCTGGCCTGTCAAAGGCAATGACTGGCTCTCTCCCTCTGTCTCCCTGCTATGTCACCTTGGCCTTTGGCTTCTCCACCTGTAGGTTGGTACAAATGCTCTTTCCCAAAGCTTAAATGATGAGTCTGCACATATGAAGCTTTGAGCACCTTCAATTAAAAGAGAAAGAGTTTTGTAGGCCAAAGTCAAAGTGGTTGCATGAGCTAAACTTGACAGGGCACCTAACAAAATGTGCTTTAAGGGCTTCTTGGCCATTGTCAACTGCAAAGGAACAGATGTCCTAGGGACAGCAGACTCCACAGTTTGTGAATGCCACTGTGCAATGTCAGGATATTGATAGGAACATAGAGAATAATACATAAAAAGGAACTTTTGAAGGTGTCCTATGCTATACATGCAGAAGCTAGTTGACCAGAGAGATAGAGAGTGAGCTTTGGAATTAATCAGACTGCGTTTGATCCTTGGATTAACCAGCCATTCTGTGTGACTTTGGCTAGTTTGGGTAACTAGACTCTGTCACTATGAAACAGGCATGAAACTGGCAGCCAGTTCATGGAGGTCAGGAAAGAATGCATCCTAAAGCCTGGTGCATAATTAGCACTTGATAAACAGTTGTTATAGGTCTTACCCATTTAAACTATTCTATTAGCTGTTCATAACGATGACAGGCAGCATTTTGAAGTATTTCCCATACTACAGACACTGTGTGAAATGCTTTACAGCTTATCTCACATAATGCTCACATTCTATGGGATAAAGTTCTTATTACACAGTTCTTATCACCTTTGCTAATAGAATAGTTTAATTAAGCAAAGAGAAGAAAGCAAAAACTAAAACAAAAACAAACAAACAAAAACACCCACTATTGCTCTATAACTTCCTTCCAACTAGGAATAAAAAGCTTGAAATAATAAAAGATCTTTTCAAGCCGAATTAGACAGGATGTAAACTAGAATTCGGGTGTATGCAGAGACTTGTTTGATTTCTATTCACATAGAATTTTATTAGCTGCTGCTAACGTGATGGCAGCATTCTATTGTTTACTATTTATATATAAACATCTCCATATGTGTTCAATACAGAGCTAAGAAAACAAACCACCCACTGTCTATGACACCGCTTTTTCCTCCTCATTCATGGAGTCATCGTCTAATTGCTAGCACATGGTGAAGGAGTTGGGAAAACAAAATGTCTCTGCACAAAGAAACCAAATGAATAAGCCGGGTCGCTGGGCTGTTAGACCTGCAGCTTCTCAGGAACATGTTGTCACAAACATCCGTGTTCCTTACTATGCCATAGTCACTGGGGACACGTTCAGTGTAGATTTGAAAAGTTGATTATAGCTAGTGGCAGTGGAGGAGAGCTGTGCTCATTTCATTCAACCCATTTTAGCACACATAACAAGATGCCATCCTGTTTACAGGGTGTAGGAAGAAAGTGCTTTCTAGAGACTGAATGCTTTATTGCCAAGATAAGCTAAAGCGTACCGATGAGGAGGCTGAGCAGCTCAAAGATAAGCTCAGCTATTACCTGCAAAGTTCCACTTTGCTCTCTTAATAAAGAGAAGCATCTCTTTATTAGGATACATGGAAACTGTTCTTCACTGCCATGTAATGTACATAATGCAAGGTGGAGAAATACTAGTGGGTGACCTCCCAGGTTGGGATCACTGGATTAGTTAATATCTGCTTAGGGTTGAAGGAGATATCATAACTTTGTCTTGTGCTAGGATCACATCCTATCACACTTTCCTTTTTTTCTTTCTTTAAGGGTCAGTTTACTCTGCCAAAGAACAGTTTGGTAACCATTAGCATTCTTTGGGTGCAAAGCAAGATTAAAAAGAAGGAAAGTGTTTAAAACAAATATTGCATGTTTTTAAATGCTTACTCCCTAATATAAACACAGAGATGATGCTTGTGTTCTTTGCTTTTATACAGTTCCAAGCGATTCTTCTTCAGAAATAGAGACCCAAGTTCAACACCTCCATCCCCTCCAAATTTGGCCTTTTCTTTGTTATAATGCTTTCATTTTCTTATAACCGAGGTGACATGTGTTTGGTTTTGAACTAAAGTGACTTGGCAGTCCCAAAATCAAATGAGGAAAAAAGGCTTCTAATTATTCAAATTAATCATGTGCCCTCTTCAATTCAATCTTCAAAACAGTAAACTCCTCCCTGACCCAGGGCAGTCATCCTCAGTGGCGCTGTCCTGCCCCAGCAAAGGTTAACGTCTTACAGGCGATGGCGGTGCGAGTTTGGTCAGGTGGTGGGCTCCAAACGAGTCCTCAGAGCCAGAGCTGCCAAGGACACCAGGTGCTGACTTGTTGCAATCATCTCTTCCAGCTGTGCCAGTGGCCCGGCAATTCCCAGTTCAAGGGGGGAGGGGCTTCTTCCCACGGCTTCAGCTCAAACACCTGTCATGGTTGGGGGGCCTAGGTAAAGAGGTACCTCCCTGCTGTGCAAAGCCAAGAACAGGTTTTACTTTCTGATCAGGTCTACCCTGAAATTCAGACTTTTATTTCTGACAGTCTCTAGCATTCAGTTCTGAACAGCCTTGGGTACCCAGGGGAGAGCCAGGAATGGCGTGATGACAGAGTGGAGTGCTGTAAGTTATTTTTATTTGACAGCTAAACTGGCTGCAGCTTGGGGAAATGGGTAGTCTTGGGTAAGTTACCTTAGTACTAAAATTGCAGGCACCTACTGTGTTTTAGCCACCGTTCCGCTTGGAGGTGGGAATAGGATAAATGGCTCCTGGAGAGCTCTTGCCAGCCTCATCTTGGTGTGTTTACGTACAGAAGGGTTCTTCTGTGAGATGAACCTGTGTTTTCAGGCAATCCGATCTTTACACTATCTGAAGTGCTCTAGGTCTCAGTGAGTCCTCCTCTGGAGCTGGCTCACGCCCACACATAGCCCTTAGACTTACTGCAAACACGTGATCCCACTCTAAATGTCCCTGTGGGAATGCTAGTGAGCCAGAGACTGGAAACTGTACACAGACATAGGCTAA